CATGACGTTCATCAGGACCATACAGAACTATCTACAGCAGAACGTGAAGATCACCAGAACTAATAATGGAACAAAGTTCAAGAACAAGGAACTGACCGAATTCTACGATAATGGGACGAAGTTCCAGTTAGAGTATTCTTATGGAACTAAAAGAGTCGCCCCCTTCAACAATGATTTTTTTAATGTAAACATTAAATAAGAAAAGTAAATGTAGTAAAACATAAAACAATGATAAATTACCAAATGCTTGCATTTTTGTTTTCCTAAAACTTTAGGATTTCGATCTACTTCGTTGTACAAAACATCATCGAGAATATTTCTTCCTCTGTTTTTTTCAATCCCAATATCCTTCTTAGAAGTAAAATAGCTTCCTTCTTCAATATGACAAAGTTTTGTTTAAGCTGTCAAATAATAAAAATAATAATAATAATAATAGCAATAACTACACATAATTATGTGCTACAAGCCTACAACCCATACGGCCATACCATTTGTTTGGCTAGATACTTTAGGATTTAACTCTTATTCGTTGTCACTAGCATCGACAAGAATGTTTCTTCCTCTTTTATTTGTAATCTCAGTGTTCTTCTTAGAAGTAAAACATGAACCACCTTTAACCATAAAAAATTAATAATTTTAGTAAATAATGTATACTATCTTTAATTCTTCTATGGTACTCTTCTATGCAAAAAAATAGAAACAGAAATGACGAAGTTAGAAAAGTTTCATCTCAATATCTTTAATATAATAGCAGATAAGTAGGATCTCCATCAAGTTCAAATGGTCTTTTGAAATTTTGCTTGAAAAAGAGAATGACTAATAGCACTGCCCCAGAAAAATCTGACAGTTGCTGTTTCAAAGGAAATTCATTTAGTCTTAGACTAAAATATAAACCCAGTGCAAAGAGAAAGAATTCAATTGTCGACACAGTTGAGCAAGAAAGAATAGAATTCCGTATATCACATAACAAGCTTAAGAGGGTACTTGGGGATAAAATAGTTCTATTGGCCAATAATCATGCTTGAAATTCATCTATTTTCGGCCTAGAGGGTCGAACGGTGAATATGGACCTTTAGAAAGACTTTTGGGACCATAGATGATCTTTGAATGATCACTGTCACTCCTCATCAGCCCATTAAGACTTTTAAAAGATGAAAATAAATCACCTGACCTTTGGCTGACAACATTTGTGGTGGTACATACTCCCTCCGTATCACATATATCTTCCCACTTCCAAAGTGGGTGAGATTAAGAATAGTGAAATAGAGTATGAATTATTGAGGGTATGATGGGAAGATGGTGAAATAATGTGATGGAATGAAGGATAAATCCAAACAAAGTAGGTGTAGTAGTGTATTATTTTTTAAATTATTGAGGGTATGATGAGAAGATTTAGAAATGAGAAGATATAAATGTTGCGTCCGAAAAAGAAAAGTGGGAAGATATGAATGTTACAGAGGGAGTAAGATCTTTTAGATCTTGGCAGGGAAGGTCGTTTATGTGCATCATCTATCCTAAACATTTCCTTTGAATGTTTTTTAATAAAAATTTTAGATCAAAGTTTTTTATCCTTTTTATCAAAAATAAAAAAATACCTATACAAAAAGACACATTGAATATATGCCAAATAAGTCATTTCATCCAAATAAATAGGTCACCCAGCCGCTTATTCTTAAACAGTTATAATATACACACGGAAAATTTCAGTCAAATTAAAAACATACTCCCTCCGTCCCTAAATGTTGTTCCAATTGCGGATTACGAAGCTTGACCGACGATAAAGTTAAATGACCCCTGTGAAAACTTGGATTATTTTTAGTAAATAAAATTTACATATTCAGAAACTACATTAAACCCGCTACAAAGCCTGCAAAAAATAATTCAACTTTTATAAAATTTTGATATAAAAAGTAAGAGATTAAGAGTGATTTAAGTTGACCAATTGAATAGTGAAATGGAACTTCTTTTAGGGATAGAGGGAGGGAGTACTTAGTTCATTTTGGAAACGTGAGTGAATTTCTTCTGACAGTGTACCCCAAAACCAATGCATCGTTAGTACATTTCTTAAGAGGAATAAACTTGTAGTGGAAATGTAGCAAAAAGGATTGGCAAAGAGAAGAGTAATTGAAAACCCAGATTTGCCCCATTTTAATTCCTTGGGTTGAGGCGTTCCGATCCACAACCTACCTATATCAACATGTATTCAATAAATTTCCGATTCAAATATCACTACATCCCCATCTAGGTTACACTTTTGTCATAAAAATAAATAATCCTAATGCCCAAATTATCGCATTCTTCTACACAAAAGATCCTTAAAATTTCAAAATGACTACTTAGATCAGACCTCAAGTTGCATGTGACGAGATAATGATAGAAATCCCTCATCTCATTTTATTGGTATAATACACAGACAAGAAAAATAAAAGAGAATTACCTCATTAAAAAAAGGGTCTACAAATAGGGACGGATCTAGCATTTCAATTCAGGCGGGGCCAGAAGTGTTCATATATATAATATAATTTCAATTGCATAAAAAAAAATTAAAAATATATTTAGCAGTTCGATTCTTTAGCAGTTCAGCATCCACTGAGAATGCAGGTCTACGCCATTGCACAAGCGACTCAGCGAGACAGAGACCAGCCTCCAGCCAACCAGAAGACGACGCTGCTGACAGCCTACGGCCTACCGGCTACCGTATTCTGTCGGCTGCCCCAACCCATCAGTTTGCCGCAACCTGCCCGTCTGCTGCACTGCCGCACCTACACGTCATTTAAATTCTCCAATTTCCGTCACTATTCATCGGTAAATTATTCCTAAATTAAAATTTTAATTTCAGATTGTGTTGATATTTTTTATCTAGTTGGCTCATTCCAGATTGAACTACTGCAGTTTTATGCTCAAAACTTGATATTCATTCTACTGTTTAGTATTCTGATTGAAAAATTATTATAATATGACTGAAAATATTTTTTAAACACATTATATTATGATTGAAAACTCGTTGTGCTCAAAACTCATTATTTTTTTGGGGGCGTTATCTTTCCTTTTTCGGTTGTCCCAAAGTAAGTGTTACATTTATTCTTTTTGGAAAGAAATATATGCTCTACGACATTTCACTTTATTATATTCAAATCTCAACATTTCACATAATAAATTAATATCATTGTTAATATCATTGTCAGTGTTAATGTTATTAATTGGACGTTTAGTATTAATTTGATAGTTACTTTTGCGAGTACTAATCAGGACCGGCCCAGCTCATGTGCAAGAGGTTATGCTGCACAGGGCCCATTTTCTAGGAGGGCCTCCAATTTATTTAAGTCCATTAGAGCATCTCCAATGCTACAATGTGCACGGTGCACATGTGGCATGAAAAAGATAGACACAAAAAATTGAATTTATGACATTTTTCTCTCATTCTTTCCACGATTTTATGTGTTTTGGGTAAGTTTTCCTCTGTAATGTCAAGCACAATGTCTACATCTAAACATTGTGCTGATGTAGACATTGTGCTTGACATTGTGAAGAAAAACTTACCAAAATGATACAAGATCCTTCTAATAAGGAGAGAAATATTCTATTTATTACTCCCTCCGTCCCAGGGAGAAGTTCCCGGGTTTACTTTCACACATATTTAGGAAATAAAGTTACTGACGGGTAAATTTTACTGTTTGGCACTGTTTCGACACTGTTTCGACACTGTTTGGCACTGTTTTGCACTGTTTGACACTGTTTTGATGTAGGATAACTTTCCATTTAGGGAAATGGGAACTTTTTGTTGGGACTACCAAAAAAAGAAAGTGGGAACTTCTCCCTGGGACGGAGGGAGTATTTTTTAATTGGATATCTCATGTCACAGATGCAGATGCAGTGTTCACGTTTTAACTTACAAATTATACCTGTCATTACGGAGCATATTACGGATTTTTAAGCTTGGGCACTGCGTCACACATCTTTATTGGGCCTCGCATTATGTGTTCATAAATGATAAAATGACACTTTTCTTTTCTTCAATAAGAATTGATGAACTGTTCCATGAGACTGTTCTATGAAATTAGAGGCTAGAGCCACAAAGTCTGAATCTCTTCTATCTTCATCGCTCGAGCCCTCCATGATACACTAGTCTTTATCGTTATACCCCTCCAGTGCAAGTCTAACACCGAGGTTTTATTCCTTTTACTCCTTTTAGCTTTTTAATGATTTATCTATTAAATTGGATTGATCTCATCAGTGGAAGTCTGGAAGAGTTGTGAATAATGGCGGCAGAGCTTCCATTTCAATTCTCGAATATTTCTGTAGACCACTTTTTTTTCTCTGAAGGGGTGCATAGCACTTCTTAAACGACACTTCACTACAAAAGATATCAATCGTGTAGTGCTTTTTTATTTAGATTTTTAGCTTGTCTTCTAAAATTTTAAAATATCAATCAGAAAAATGTATGTCTTTTATGCTTTATACCTAGGGCCTCCTATATACCCTGGTACTAATCTCGTTGTTTAGCATTAATCCCAGTAACTTTTGTTAGTGGGAGTTAGGATTTCACGGTCGGTTCACCGTTTTAATATTACTGACAATACTGAGCATCGGTTTACAGTAAAATGATACATGTAAAGTTTACACATTAAAACTTTGCATGTAAAATGATTGCATGTAAAGTTTAAGGCATGTAAAATTGTTTGCATGTAAAATAAAGATACATCGTTTGGTTACTTATGTAATCTATTTTTAAATGACACGCAAAATCTTTACAACGTTTGATCATAAAATAACTTTACACGTAAAATATTTATAAAAGACTACTCTGTGCGTGTGATAGCACAAATTCCAGGCTCCAACAGCATGGTACTTGCAGAATGGTTCTCTTGGTAACTATTTCAAACCAAATCACAAGATGGAAAATTATATTACTAATTTTTGCTTCCACACATGTAAAAAACAAATGTGAAATACGTAGTAGCAGTTTATATGAATTCTAAGCACGATGTAGACATCACTAATTTAAAAGGTTTAAATTGAGAATTATTTTATTGTCATCGTTTCTACTACCAAAACCAAAACAGTAACACTTTGAAGGAATTTAGAAGGATTAAATAGAAACTTAATATTGTCTTAATAAAACTACATAATAAAAAATTCATAGAAAGTCACTAAAACTAGATTTCTCCATTCAAGACAGCTCGAACATAAATCAACTTTGCCTCTTCATCTGGCATGAGTAAGAAAGAATCTGTTTTTCCTTTGCTAGATGATATAATTCCAAATGCACGTATCGCCTACTCCTTACTTAAATCTGGCAAATTCATTATCACCTGTAGTATATGTGGCTTAACATCATCAGCAGCATTAAATCGATCAAAAAATGTTGTCACTTTCTCAAACTGCTTGTTTGATGTAACACACATTTCGAGAACGGTTTCAATTTTTTTTTGGAACACTTCAGCCTGTTTATCAAACTCATTCTTCTTTGACTTTTTTGGTGGCTCCTCAAATTCCTTTTTGATGGAAATACCAAGAGTCCTCTTCTTATTTCTGCTAATATCGGGCGATGAAAAAATATCATCATTCATAGCATCGAGATCCACAGCTACACCAAAAAAATCATCATGGACAACACTTTTTGGAACATGAGCTCCTTCTTGAGGTGCACTTTCTTTTCCTAAACTAGTCACCATTTCAGTTGGAGACTCACACTTATCCCCAGTTGCCCATTCAACGCCAAATATTATTGCCAGGTCATCAAAATAAGGGAATGACTTGTGTCTAAGATGAACTGACTCTTTATGTCCCTAGAATGACAATTTTGATTGAAAAATAAGAATAAAGGTCACAAATAACGTATAACCATATTAAACATGTGCAGTAAGTTGAATATAATACCTTAATCCAAGAAGCCCAAACCTCATCATCACAATTAACCATTTTGGTTTCCTCATTCCAGCCAAAACCTGAAGCACCCCTCATCATAGAGAATTCCTTATATTGAGTTTTTAAGTGTCTTAATCTATTTTTTATATTTGGATCTCCCAAAATATAACAACCAGGGATTTTTGTAGCCATCCACTTCTGAAGCTGCTGATAGAAACCGGTTTTGAATCCATTTTCAGCTTTCCAACCTTGGTTGATCAATTCCAGACAACCCTCAATAAGTATTTTGTCTTCATGAGGAGACCATTGATGATTATTACGCTTCACTTTTGAACTCGGGGGTGTGATAGTACAATCTTCCATTGTAGACTGTATAACACAAACATTAAGAACACACAAAAAGGATGGTGAAATATGCAGTCTTGCTTTATATGATGAGTTAATATAAAAAAAAAGTAAAAAAACACATCATAAAAAAACAATCATTTAGATCACTAGTATTTTATTATAAATAACAACAAAGAGTAACAGCAGCTCCTCCACAAAGTGCAAAAAGAGAGCACATATTTTCTTATAAAAAAATAAGATGATTCTTAACAAATAAAAACATATAAAACCACTAATATGATTATTAATTCCTATTAGCTCGACGCTCGTTCCATATTTCTTGTGCTAAGTTATCCCTAAATGCAGTCCAAGCTGCAGATTGCTCAATATCTTGTATGCTTGGGGCATTCAACAATGAGTCAGAATCAACATAATCTTCTGGCACCTTATCCTCAAGCGGATCCTTTCGCATCTCCCTTCTTATATGATTGTGAAGTAAAGCACAAGCAGTTATGACTCTACAATATGTCTTCACAGGGTACCAAGATCTACTACGAAGAATTGCCCATCTCATTTTTAATAATCCAAATGATCTCTCAATGACATTACGTGCACATGAATGCTTGTAATTAAACAATTCTTCTTTTGTTCTAGGATAATTCTGTTGACTCCATTCTTTTATATGATACCGTTGGCCTCTAAATGGAGCTAAAAACCCGTCTGCATTGCTGTATCCGGCATCACATAGATAGTAGCAACCTTGAGGAACTACAAAGCCATTTGGTCTAGAAATTGCACTTCTTAATACCCTTGCATCAGCAGCAGAACCTTCCCACCCAGGTAATATGTAAATAAAATGTAAATCCCGAGAACAAACTCCAAGTACATTTGTTGCTAAATCACCCTTCCTTGTCCTATACTTAGGCTTTTCTTGTTCAGGGACATTTATCTGAATATAAGTTCCGTCTAGCGCTCCCAGACAATTCTACATATTAAAATAAAATAACAGTGCTTTGTTAGTAATTGACTTATTTAACCATTATTTATTTTGTGGCAAGTTCCAAGAAAATAGTGTAAAATTATTACCTTAAACCATTTCCAAGGATGTTCTTTACAATTTTGAGTCACCGGTTCAGGCTTCTTAAGCAAAACTTCATGCAGTCTCAAGATAGCAAGCAAGACTTTATTAAAGTGTCTGCTTATTGTTTCACCGCTACGCACAAATTCTCTTTTGGCCACTCTAACTTTAGTATGATGAGCGAGTATATAGAGGAATGAAGCAAGCATTTTCTCAACGGTTGAGTTCTTTGTTGATCTCAACATGCCAATACTTTCAACCATGTCACACAGCACGTAAAACGCTCTCCTATCCATCCTAATGTTATCTACACATTCTATATCGTCGTCCCAAATCATTCTTCTAAAATTAACACGTCTAATTTCATATCTCTCATAAGCACTTCCTTTTTGACATCTTTTCCTCTTCCTTATAATAAAAGTGTCTTTATAATATTCTAACATCGCAAGCACAATGAGTAGGAAGTTTCTAAAATTTAACGCAATAACATAAGCTGCCATGCACATTGTAATTTCGTCTTGTTCTGAGCAGTCCATGGTCCACACTAACACCAAAAGAAATATAACTCCATTTAATCAGTATGTAATACATCTTTTTTATAAAACAAGGGTCCATACTGCACTAGCTTCTTTCACCAACTAAATTGAGGGGTTTGATGGGTTTCGAACTTAAGAGAACAACTTTCAAATTGGAAGCTTTTGTTTTAAACGGGCTGTGAAATATCTTTAGAAATGATTATATGGCTATGATTATATGGCTTGACTGAAAATTTCAATTTTTAACTTACATATTGAACAAATTATCAAATAATATCACATCATAACCGCAATAACTTGAGGAATACTTAGTATGGGCTCTTTCTGAACACAAAGTATAACTTGGAACTACAACCAAAACAAAATAATACGTATAAAGCAAGCCAATAACAAAAAATTACACAACCAGAAATTACCATCGTAATCACAGAAAAGTTGTTTCAATATAGAATAAAACTCAGAATATTTAATGAATCCAATGACAGAGCAAACCAAGCACACATAACTACAAAACAGGGTAAATACATACATATATATATTCGATTATTGGATAGTGTATTTGAGTAATGAAACAGTGCTTAAAACTAAACAATGGCCGCATATAATACAATTCAAACTCATCAAATCTCAAAATACAATTCAACCCTTAAATCCATTCTTCGTATATACGTAAATATAGAATAAATCAAAGTTCATTAAAAAAATCAAGGTGTAGAAACTAACCTCTTGGTTAATCTGTAGTCACTAACGCAGATGGAGAAGAGAATCGATGATATGGTTTGACGATTTTTGTTATCTTAAATAGGAGAAAAGATGAGGTTCTTGCCGCCAAGATTTTTTGCTTTGCCGCCAGGGTTTTCAAAGTCCGCCTAGATTGAAATCGTGAATTTCAATGCTCTGTATAAGTATTCACTCTCTTAAAAACGAGTGTAAACTAGTTTACCACCCTCCCCCCATGTAAAATATTTTATATGGTACAGTGTAAAATATTATTAAAAAAGTGCCCTACAGTTTACATTAAAAAATTAAAACAAACAGTATAAAATGTTTACGTCCCCACACTTTAAACGCAAAATGTTTACTTTAAGCCGTACCAGTTCAACTATCTGGCTATCCTAGTTGCTCCACCAGCCAGAGAAAACGACGTCTTTCTTCTTCAATCTTTGTCCAGAGCCGTTGATCTGATCTATTCGGTGTCGCAGACTTGGGCCTTCACGTCCTTGCCGTCGATCATCACAAGTCACAACCTAGGTCTGGAACTCAACTTCGATTGTTGCTTTGGAGTGGTGGTCGAACTCATCCCTGGCGAACCGGGACAGCAGGTTGGATTTTCCCACCGCCGAGTCGCAGACGACTATTATCTGTCTATTTTGAACAGGTACCCCTCTCCTTCCTCTTCCTTGATAATCTTTTGTTAAACTGCAATAAGTTGATTGAAAACCTGTGCCCATCAGTCCGGCCGGGCAAGTGCTTGGCTATTTGAGCCCATAGGTTTCATAGAAACAATAAAAAATGATGAACTTTTACTTGATGCCGATGCAATAAGCTTTTAAGTGCACTTTGAAATGAACTTGATGCAAACAATTGCATTCAATTGTGATTTGTCCACCCATTTTTCATCTTTTTCTCATTAATTCATGTTTATACCCTTATATCCACAATCTGATGCATCTTATTTATTCTATTTTCTAAGTTTTTTTGTCTATTTAATCATACATGTAGTTATGTTGTGATAGAAAACAGATATAGAAAGATTGTCTCAAAAAAAAATCAGAATATTGTCTATGCAGTCATGTATTTGAACACTGGTGTATTCTTGTGTTTCTAATATCTTCTTCAAAACTTGATTTACTTATGGAGTTTTGTTTATGATCATAGATGTTCAGAAAATTATGTTCTTTTATGGTTTATGGTTAACTGAAGTTTTGGTTAACACTTGGTTAACCGAAGCTTTGGTTAACTGTGTACTCAGTTAACCGGTTAACCGGTTTCTCGGTTAACCGGAAAGTTGGTTAACCAAAATCCGGTTAACCAACCATGCCCACCCCTAGTTGTATTCCCATTGTTTCGAATATAGACTGTTTTACTATGGTGCAAGACTGTAAGTGTGTAACTTATCATATGATATGGTGTATTTTTCTAGCCTTCTAAGGTTAAAAAATTTGATAAAGATAGATTTAAGGAGATACTTCAGATCTTTTGAAGAAGAAGCTAATGAAGATATCATTATCAAATATCAAGCTACATCCGCATATGAAAAAAAGAATACATGATAATGGTGAGAAAATAATTTTTTAAATAATGTTTGGGGTATTTAAATTATATTCGCAAGTTTGGGGTGTTTACTTCACACCCCATCAAAGTTAGAGTATTTTTTATTATTTTTCCCTCTTTAGAAGTGAAAAACTGAAAATTTCAGCAAATCATCTTCGTTTGGGGTATTTTTCAGTATTTTTACTATTCTTCTTCCTTTTTTACTACATCGTCATCTCTACTGGCCCAAAGTTCAGCAATTAACGACTTTTGGCTATCCTTGTTCGATTCTTTAGCAATTCAACATCCACTGAGATTACTGAGATTGCAGGTCTGTACGCCATTGCACAAGCGACTCAGCGAGACAGTGACCAACCTCCAGCCAACCAGGAGACAACTCTGCTGACAGCCTACTGGCTACCGGCTACCGTGCTCTGCCGGCTGCCCCAACCCATCGGTTCGCCGCAGCCCGCCCGTCTGCTGCACTGCCGCACCTACACGTCATTTAAATTCCCCAATTTCCATCACTATTCATCGGTAAATTATTCCTAAATTAAAATTTTAATTTCAGATTGTGTTGATTTTTTTATCTAGTTGGCTCATTCCAGATTTAACTACTGAAGTTTTATGCTCAAAACTTGATATTCATTCTACTATTTAGTATTCTGATTGAAAAGTCATTATAATATGACTGAAAATATTTTTTAAAACTCATTATATTATGATTGAAAACTCATTGTGCTCAAAACTCGATGTTGAAAACTTGTAATATGATTGTGATTTGTGTTGACGAATATTAATCTTATTGTTTAGTACTTCATCCGCACCATTTCAACTGTCTTACTTTCCTTTTTTGGTTGTCCCAAAGTAAGTGTTACATTTATTTTTTTTGGAAAGAAAGATGTGCTCTACAACATTTCACTTTATTATATTAAAATCTCACTTTATTATATTCAAATCTCAACATTTCACATAGTAAATTAATATCATTGTTAATATCATTGTCAATGTTAATGTTATTAATTGGACGTTTAGTATTAAATTATTAATATGATAGTTATTTTTGCGAGTACTAATCTCATTGTTTAGCATTAATGCCATTAGCTTTCGTTAGTTGTAGTCCCATTGTTTTGAATATAGACTGTTTTACTATGGTGTAACTTATCATATGATATGGTGTATTGTACTTGCCTACTAGGGTTAAAAATGTTGATAAAAATAGATTTAAGGGGATACTTCAAATATTTTGAAGAAGAAGCTAATGAAGGCCTTGGATGAAATATCAAGCCACATCTTCATTTGAAAACCCCAACACTTATGAATTTGTGATGTGCTTTTTGTATTTGGCTTGGATGAAAATGCTTATCCTTGTAATCATATACTCCCCCAGTCCCATTTAAAGGTTCCCATTTTTCTTTTTTGAACCTCTCACTTAAAGGTTCCCACTTTCTATTTTAGGAAACAATTAACACTTTTAAGTAACAATTTAATCATCAAATATTAAAAATAATACATTTATAACATAACATTTATCATCAATAACTCATTATATTATATACTCATCAAAATTATTTCTCAAAATATATTCGAATTAACATATTTAAATATTATCTAAATATTCGTGCCATTTTTTCATGGGAACCCTTGAACGGGACGGAGGTAGTATTACGTATAATATATATTTTTATATTTTATTTTTTATGCAATTGAAATTATATTATATATATGAAAACTTTTGGCCCCTCCTGAATTGAAATGCTAGATCCGCCCCTACTTGTAGACCCTTTTCTCTCTTTATATGTGGTAATTCTCTTTTATTTTTCTTGTCTGTGTATTATACAAATAAAATGAGATGAGGGATTTCTCTCATTATCTCGTCACATGCAACTTGAGGTCTGATCCAAGTAGTCATTTTGAAATTTTAAGGATCTTTTGTGTAGAAGAATGCGATAATTTGGGCATTAGGATTATTTATTTTTATGACAAAAGTATAACATAGATGGGGATGCACTGATATTTGAATCGGAAATTTATTGAATACAGGTAGATATAGGTAGGTTGTGGACCGGAACACCTCAACCCAAGGAATTAAAATGGTGCAAACCTGGGGTTTCAATTACTCTTCTCTTTGCCAATACGTTTTGCTACATTTCCACTACAAGTTTATTCCTCTTAAGAAATGTACTAATGATGCATTGGTTTTGGGGTACACTTTCAGGAGAAACTCACGTTTCCAAAATGAACTAAGGATGTTTTTAATTGGACTGAAATTTAATTGGACTGAAATTTTCTGTGTGTATCTTATAACTGTTTAAGTCTGGTTTGTTTAAGTCTAGTTTGGTCTGTTTAAATCTGGTCTGGTCTAGTCTGAGACTGTAATAAGTCCAAATAAAAACATCCTAAGGCTCTGTTTGCTACCCAGCCGCGTGGCATATCCTGCTTCTTGGCATATTTAAAGAATAAGCGGCTGTTGATCTATTTATTTGGATGAAATGGATATCACCAAATGCTTTTCCAGTTACCTTGGGGAAAAGTCAACCATTTCAGCCAAATAAATGTTAGTAAACATGCCCCATGAACACTAGAGCACTGCTTGCTAGATGTACTCCAATGTTTTCATACAAGTTTAATTGCTACTCACCCTCTTGTACTCCCTAATCTATTTAATTTATGTTTCAGTAGTTGCCCATCAGATCTTGTTCTCTCATTAGTGAATATTATTCATTAGTAGTAGCCCCTTGAATGTATTGATTTTCCAATCCTTCTATCTTCTAATGATTTCTTCTTTTTCGTAGATAAATTAAAGAATTAAGGATTATAAGTATGCCGTCTCTCCAAACAGCGTTGCCTCCTGAACTTGCTAATAATACCATTCGAGTTCGTTTTTTCATTCGTCTATGATTTATCCACATTTTGTGCTGTTATGTGCAGCTCATATGTGTTTGTTTTTGTCATGTGCAGCTATATCGTGAATGCCTCCGTCGGGCCAAGTATATCGGCAGTAAGGTATGCTATGTTGCTGTTGCTGCTGTTTATCAAATACTACGTAGTTTATTTCAATCCTGCATAAACATGGCACACTTGAGTTTTTTCCAAATCATGTTTGCGGCTTTGCTGAGAGTAATTTTTGGAGTGTTCATTATAAAGATAGATATTTATAGATTCTAATGTTTTCTTTGAAAAACTCAGTAATTTGGATGATCTTATTTGATACGATTAATATGCAGCAATACAACACAGAACTGCTTGTCAATATGGTAAGGCAGCAGTTCAAAAGAAACATGCATGAGAAAGATCCTGATAAAATTCAAAAGTTCAAAGATGAGTACGTTCACTTCCCTTATCCTTTTCTAATTTGTGATGTGAATGTGTGGAGGAATATGGAGAATGAATGAAACAAACTATGGGCTGTGTTATTTTTAAGCTGAATGTTTGCCATGGAACGAAAACCATAATTTAATTGTATAGAAATATAGAGTATCAGTGCCCCTTCGTAAGGATTAGTTTTTGGGGATTGGTTGAACTTGTGGCTGGATGATATGGATGAATTGCATTTTCAATGTTTGTGGATGTGTGTGCGTATGTATGTATGCATGTATTTCAAATAATTTGAAGAAAACATATCTTGAAAAAGAGAGGGTCCAAGTGTGTTCAAAGAGTAACACTACTATCATCTTTTCATTATCAACCGATTTAAGCAGTGCAATTATCTAAGATAATGTTTGGTAGTCATGAAAAAGGCTTGGTTGGGCGTGTTCATTTTATTATTATGATTCTACACGCCATATGTCCATTCATCATGTTTTTGTTTTTGTTGTTGTTGCTGCAGTGCTGCAAGAGGCCTCATAAATCACATGCTATATGAGTCTGAACATCACATCGGTGGCCGGAAATCCACCAAGATTTGATTGATAACTCACATCC